ACCGTGATTGTATGTGTTATCAATGTCGGTTATGCCTATAACCGACATAAAATGTTACACTTTCTACGTCGGTTATGCCATTAACCGACGTAGAAAGTACTTTCTACGTCGGGTAATGACATAACCGACGTAGAAAGTGTTATTTTTTTTTAAAATACCTGCATTTTATTTACAGATGCTACCTTTCTTCGAGTAGACCTGCCTATTCATCACGGTTCCAGACAAATAACCACAGATCCGATGCAGACGGATATGCACAGTTCATATATAAATTTGCTACGAGATATATATCCAGGTACAGACAGATTCGATTGCGAGACAAATATGTACATATGAAACACATTGAAATGAATATATGTACGGACAGATCCGAGTTCCAGACAGTTCATTTACTTAAACGAATGTAAATTTCCTAACTTAAATCAATTCTATCTAAATTGTTACAAGTTAAATTTCCTATGAAGATTGAATGCTTAAAAGGAAAGAAGCCCACTTGCTCTCTGATATCGTCTAAGACTTCAATCTTCATTGGAGATGAGTCTCGTAAATTCCTACATATTGAAACATTTCGATTTAGAAATCATTTACATAATTGGCATATTTGACTTAATTATAGTATATTTACCTCCCTCCACGTGTCAAGAATATTTTTGGCTACAATGGTGTGCATGTGCTTCATCACATAAAACCCGCACTCATGGCTTCCGGTTGGCGTGGACACTACAAGTTAAATACATGTCAGATTAACTTTAAATGACAAATTGAACAACGAGTAAGAGGTGTTTGGTCACCTTTGGTGCAATATACGTCAACTTCTTTCTAGCATGAGATGGAAGACCTTGCAACCTTAGGTGAGCTTCCAAAGCTCTACAAAAGGACAAATAATTTTGGTGTAAGTAGTGCACATATGATACAATAATTAAAAACAACCAAACTTACGCGTCTATGTGCTTTCTAATATCCAAATCATTTGGTTTCTTGTGTAATGAACACAAGAGAATCACAAGAAATTGGCGAGGAACAATTATTATGAGCTGCCAATGACCCCTGCACGTTGCAATAATATTAGTAAAATTTCAGTTTTACATAAATGTGCATTAATTTACAAGATGTATACTTACTGATGCAAGTAAGGTGCTAAGTAGACTTCTTTGCCCCCATTTTGAAATGCCTCTATTAAGTACGTTTGCACCTCTTCAGCTTTATTCCCAACGGACTGAATGGCAACAGGGTCAACAAATCCATAGAGATAGCGGATCTTCCTCTCAACACACAAACGATGTAAATACCTTCAACATTGAAAATAAATAAAGTTATAAAATAATGTACCAGTGAGAATATAAAAAATATGTAAATATACTTACATTTCCCAAAGCTGGAACACTGATACACATAGCATATCAGTACCAGTGAGAATATCAAAAATATCCCTTTGGAATAAGAAAAAAGGGATCGTCTTGGTCCTGCATACGACTTCGGGTGGCATATCTAACTGTATGGAAGTGGTCCCGATAGTCGCTGCCAGTGCACCGAGTCGCTGTAAAGCAGATGGTGGTGGTGGTGATTCATGCACAACTTCCTTTGCTTTTTCAGCCTCTTCCTATACAAGTACCAAAAATCAATAACATTAATATACATCAACCTATCAAAAAATAATAAGTACTATCGTTCAATGCATAAATCAACCTGTGCATGTGTTGGGATGGGTCTTGTTAATGAAACTGGCCATAAGATAAAATGCCCAGGTGCCTGTCCCACTGTTTGAACCTCTTCAGTGGGAATAGGGATTGGGGTAGCAGCATCCCGAACATCTACAACCACCACTCTGATCATATCATCTCCAATACTCTGGTGGTGGATGGTTGACCCCAATGCATACATTTTCCCTAAGGTAAACAAAGGATAAAATATTTTAGACTATATAATGCGTAACACCTGTACCAAATACATGTCAAAGATATAATACGTACCGTATGCCACCAAATGCTCTGGAGGACCCGCAACATACAACCGACGGTCAGCAGTGTCGGTAGGAGCAACCTCTCGCCCTCTATCGGGAGGATCACAACTCTCCTTTGTGTTGACATGAATCGGGGATGCCGCTCGTGCGGGGACGGAAGGTTGAGATGACAAAGATGCCAACTCGCTCGCATTGAGCTCAATAACTCTGCCTTCAAGTCGAGTACACCTCATCTCGAATCTCCTTCCTAATTTGTTGTTTGAGGGACTCAAACTCTTGCTCATTCAGCTGCCTCAAAGAAGGAGTTGCCACGGGTGGGGCACCAAAGTACCTGCTCGATGCCCACCCTCGTCCAGGCACCACGAACACGTCCAGGATGCTCGGGGTACCAATGGCCACTGCCAATATATCCTGACGGCCATGTGGGTGGAATGATCCCCGAGTGCTCGCTCAACCAACTCATCCTACAACACAAACGAATTATTTTTTAGCAAATACAAATGCCTATTGTAGTATAACATATATAATTAGTTTAGGATATGCTACTTACAATACGTTGAGCAACAACATTAGTTTGCTCAGATAAGTAATTCCCTGATGAGTTCTGGCGAGCTCTCTTCCATTTATCATGGCGTGAAGGGCGGGTGACAGAACTCACAACGAACACGTCCAGGATGCTCTGGGGTACCAATGGCCACTGCCAATATATCCTGACGGCCATGTGGGTGGAATGATCCCTGAGTGCTCTGCTCAACCAACTCATCCTACAACACAAACGAATGATTTTTTAGCAAATACAAATGCCTATTGTAGTATAACATATATAATTAGTTTAGGATATGCTACTTACAATACGTTGAGCAACAACATTAGTTTGCTCAGATAAGTAATTCCCTGATGAGTTCCGGCGAGCTCTCTTCCATTTATCATGGCGTGAAGGGCGGGTGACGGAACTCACAACGGAGTCATCTCGAAGGTAGACTTGAAGAAGTCTCCTTCATCATCTTCTCCTCCAATTTCTCATAACCCCCACGAGACAACTCGTGGGGGTGGATATTCTTCCTCTCGAATATCCCGTGCCTTCCGCCTCTTGGCCTCGTTGCATTCCATGTTAAATACCAAATTTAAAACCTCTATTTAAAAAAAATTACCGCAAACAAATGACAAATGTGCTAACCCGAAACCTAGGGTCTAATCGCTGAGTCCGAAATGCCTGCCATGTCTCCTCATCCAAAAACTCGATATCTGGTCACATGGGTTCTTGTTGCTCAATGCCCCATATATGTATCGACTGGTCAGATCACTCTTAAAACCTCTCCAGCTGTTCCTCAAACATATGAGATCCACTTTGTCCTCAACAAAGTGGTGTTAGGGACATCATATGTGACCTACACAATAAAAATAACATGAAGTTCCCAAAAAAAGTTAAATATATATACATGTTAAATGCTCAAGTAAGAGTAGGTACCAGGATACTCTGCCAAATCTGGTTCTTCAGTGTCTCTGGAACATGGTTCCAATCCTCAATAAGAATACTAACCTTGCTTCTCCCAAGCAAGGCCACATAGCTAGTGAATCTAGCACTGTGCTCTCCAGTGGCTCTACCAGTTTGCATGTCAAACTGGATAGGTAATTTCTGATCAGAGCTGCGACTGATATTCAACTCCCTCAACCGTGTAGCACGCCTACCCTTTTTCCTGGTAGACGGCTGACTCTGATCACCACCTTGTGTAGGAGGGGGGGACTGTGTAGGAGGAGGGGTACCAGATGAATCTGCCATATCTGTGTTCAAAGAAAAAATAATAGTTAATAGTTTAGACAATATGATCGAAGATAAACAAAAAAGTGCATACATTAAAAAATAATACATTAAAAAAATTTCATACATTATCAAGTTGGAGCATTCTCCCAAAATCCTTCCATATGGTCATAACGGATGGCATGCACATCATCTATTTCTACATTAACACTCAAGTTTGGCATATTTAATGTTCAAATGACTAATGTTCAAATGACTACAGAAACACATTCAAATGACTAAACTACTTACAATACATCTCTAAATTAGCTAAAGGCACCCGTGATGTTTCCCTCTCTTGACAGCATTATTACTTACTATATTCAATACTGTAAACCTACATTGGCTAAAGCAAGCACGAAATCTTACCTCTTGAAGACCTACAGAGGTGGCAGGTGGCGTGACGTGCAGAGCTGGGTGGGGAGAAACGTATCCCAGGCGATGGGCACCAATAGCAGCAGGCAGCACGAAGCGTTGGCAGGTGGCGTGACGAGCAAATGTGGGTGCGGAGAAACGTATACAAGCGAACGGGGGAGCTCTGGTATGGGTGAACTGATGAAAGGAAATGGAGCGTAGGGAGAAACGTACAGGGGAGCTTTGCTATGGGGGGGAAGTGATGAAATGAAATGGAGTGCGGGAGGAGCAGAAGATACTATGTCGGTTGCCCTAACACCCGTCATCAAAGTCACTTTCTACGTCGGTTAAAATTTACCCGACATAGAAAGTTCACTTTCTACGTCGGGTAAATGTTACCCGACATAGAAAGTTAACTTTCTACGTCGGGTAAATGTTACCCGACATAGAAAGTGAACTTTCTATGTCGGTTAAATTTTACCCGACATAGAAAGTGACCTTTCCACTTACTATGTCGGTTAAAACTTACCCGACATAGAAAGTTTATGATTTTATTACAAAATTGCCACCGCGTCACATACTATGACGGGTGGATTACGACCGTGATAAAAACCCGTCATAGAAAGCTATTTTTCCACTAGTGAATGTCTGAGCCCTCTGCAGGCATTTTTGTATTTGACATATTTCAAAATGACTTTTGTGAGTTATTGCTATCTGAGGTACCTAATCATTTTAACTATCATTAATTATAATCTTTGAAATTGGAAGATGTATATAGATGCCTGTGTATATACTGAATGTTTTGTGTATGTTTAAAAATTATTTGTGGTCTCCCCTCCCTAGATTGAAAATTTTGAGAAGTGGGTGACTGAAACAAAGTTTCGGATAATGCGTCCCAATACAATGAATAAATATGGTGTTGTACTTGATGACTTTGGACTTGAAAAAATGCTTGACAAGCTTATGGAAGGTTTTATTCGTCCTTTATCCAGAGGTAAATGAAGACTTCATTATAATCTAATGGTAGTTTGACATCTTTTCATTCTCACAAGACATGTTTAGTCACTCAATAATTTGTTATACAATCTTATTTGCAGAAGTTGGTGGGGCAACCCTGGATTCTCATCATGGTTTTGTTGTAGAATATGGTAAAGATAGAGATGTTGAATTGGGTAAGAGTTCTGCTTGATGAGTGTTTGTTTTATCATTTCATTGGTCAAGTGCATAATATTGAGTTAGTGAACCTACATGGTATTATCTATGGAGTTTTGGGTTGATGGAAAATTGGGCAATTTAATACTTCTCTTGAACATTCAATTTGGTGATCTATCTATATATATTTCTGTGTTTAAGTTTAGTTTTAGCAGTATATAGTGAAAGTAAATTTCAAATGATTGTTTTTGGGTTAATATTCTGTTTCAATGAAGTTAGTTAATGTTATCTGTTTGCTACTGTGAGGAGATTTATAGACCATTGCTTCTTACTACTTCTCATAGGTGGTTGTATACTTCTCTTATAGAGTTCATTTTTTAAAGCAGGAGATCTTTGATTATTCTCATGTTCCTGGACGAGTTGTGCTTCATTGGGGTCGTCATCGCCAAGGTGCTAGAGCCACTACATCCGGTAATCGGGTCAACTTACTTTTGTGGTGCAGAAGGTGATTTCACTTATTGCTTCAGTTTGTCTAGTGATTTTGAGCTGTTGCTTGTTTCATATTGTAGACCCCAAATCTTGCCCGGCCTCATAATAAAGACCAGAAGACCTCTTGTTCGAAGATGGATGAAGCCTAAGAAGCCATTAGGAGAGACTATTAGGCCCCATAGTAGGATAGGAAGGTTTTTCTGCATTAAAATAAAGATTTTCGCCTTCAAGGATCGAGACCGCCGTCTCGCTTTTCGAGACCGTCGTCTCGCCATTCCTACAGGTTGAGACCGCCGTCTCGTTGGGCGAGACGGTCGTCTCGCCACCTGCGAATGGCGAGACCCCCCTCTCATTGGGCGAGACGGCCTTCTCGCCATTTTTGCAAGGCGAGAATGTCGTCCCGAATGATGAGATGGTCATCTCGACCTTGTCAGACGAGACGACCATCTCGACCTGACAGGCGCGAATCCCTATAAATAGCAGCGCTTCCCCCCTCATTTCACATAGTTCTTCCACTTTCCCTCTTGCAACTTCTTCAAATTCTCTTCCTAGAACCCCTCTGAAGCATTCCCGGAGTTTCTGAGAGTTTCTTAGAAATTTTATAGCGTTTCTGAGAGTTTTTCCAGCGTTGTAAAGAGTGAAGGGCTGCCAAAACGCACCCTAACTTTCAAGAAATTAATCAAAGAGCTTGCTTCGGAGATTTCTTCTTTCTCTCCCTCTCTTTATTGCCTTTACTTTTATGATTAAATTGCGTAATAGCTATTAGGGCCATGTAGTCATTCTTTTAATTCCACAAATAAAAGGGTAAAAGCGTCTTTTCACAAAGTTTATTTATTAAATAGCTGACCTATCATAGGGAAACCGAAAGGGGAGTCGTAAGGAAACTAACACTTCCCTTACACGTAACTAACTCCCTTACCTAAACTCTGGTTTTAACGACCAAAGTTGGTTTTCGAAAACCAACGCCTTTTTACTCCTTTTTCGATGTTTTCGGTAAAAACATCGGTGACGACTCCATAAGAACCCTTCAAAACTAGTTTTTGGGTTAGCCCGGTTATCGGACAATCCAATAACACTTTTTCGAAAACCTCGCCTCTAGGTTCAGCCCGGTTATCGGACAACCTAAAGGCGTTGTAACCTAAAGCCAGCGTAATAAAAAGAGACTAAAAAGTAAAAAGGCTTATGCATTATCCCGAAAAAGCCAAATTTCAAATCGCGAAAAAAAAAAGAGATAAATCGCAGAAAAAGGCGAAATCAAATGAAAATCCTTGCTCCCTAAGTGGGTCACCTCAGAAAAAGGAAAAATCAACAAAAGAGAAGGAAATGGAAATTCCATTCCTTCAACAGAATAAGATCACCACAAAAGCTAGCTCGCACCCACATCAATTAAGGAGCCAAGATTCCATTCCCCCAAAGGGGCTACCAAAATCTGACCCCCGGGAAGTCAACCAATTCCCTGGTGGATCAATCAAAAAGAAAGATCATCCCCAGTGAGCCTACTGCAAAGGAAAAACTTTAGATTCATCCTCAGAATGTCATTTGCCTACACATAGGCAAGACCTGGCAAGCAAGAGCCAGCATCCCCATAGGGGAATATCAGCCTAGTCAGAGGAAAAACAAATGCAGCCAAAAGTCTTCACTTCCGATGAAGCATCTACCTACTCAGAGACATTACTAGAAACTCCCTGGAGTATCTGCCTACTTAGAGGCACCATCAAAATCAACAAATTTTCAATGGATATCCGCCTACTCAAGAGGTGTCACCAAGATCAGCAAATCCCTAGAGGATTTCTGCCTACCTAAGAGGTACTCATCAAAAATCCCCGACAACCAGCAAAGTCGGATGACCACTACCAAAGGATCAAAAACAAAGAATCCCCAGCAAATAACAAGCTGGATGGCTATCAGGAAAAGCCAAAAAACAAAGAATCCCCGGCACACCGGAAGACTTTACCAGAAAGGTCCAAAAACATTTACCAAAACAGAAATCACTCCCCATGGAGTCGGCGCATGAGCTAGAGCAGTAAGCCGCCACCACAGCCAAAGGGTCAGCTACAGTCAGAAGGAGCATCCGGAGGCACAACACTAGTTGGGGGTGTATACTCATCAAGCTTTACAAAAGGGGGCTTACCAGACGGGGGTTCATACTCGTCAAACCAGATGGGGGTTCATACTCATCAGCCAAAGGGATCAGCTACCGCCAAAAGGAGCATCCTGGAGGCGCACAACGCACTTTTCCCTAGAAGATCAACCATCGCAAAGATGGGATGTCTAAAGGGTAGCCAGGCAAGAGGGTCAACTCCTTTACCCTCCAATCGATCTTCTTGGCACGACAAGCTAGCAGTCGACTGATCGGGTAAACGGGGGGCAACTGTAGACCCCAAATCTTGCCCAGCCTCATAATAAAGACCAGAAGACCTCTTGTTCGAAGATGGATGAAGCCGAAGAAGCCATTAGGAGAGACTATTAGGCCCCATATTAGGATAAGAAGGTTTTTGTGCATTAAAATAAGGATTTTCGCCTTCAGGGATCGAGACCGTCGTTTCTCTTTTTGAGACCGCTGTCTCGCCATTCCTGCAAGTCAAGACCGTCGTCTCGTTTGGTGAGACGACCGTCTCGCCACCTGCGAATGGCGAGACCCCCCTCTCATTGGGCGAGATGGCCTTCTCGCCATTTTTGCAAGGCGAGACGGCCGTCCCGAATGACGAGACGATCGTCTCGACCTTGTCAGACGAGACAACCGTCTTGACCTGACAGGCGCAAATCCCTATAAATAGTAGTGCTTCCCCCCTCATTTCACACAGTTCTTCCACTTTCCCTCTTGCAACTTCTTCAAATTCTCTTCCTAGAACCCCTCCGAAGCATTCCTGGAGTTTCTGAGAGTTTCTTAGAAATTTATAGCGTTTCCGAGAGTCTTTCTGGCGTTGTAAAGAGTGAAGGGCTGCCAAAACGCACCCTAACTTTCAAGAAATTAATCAAAGATCTTGCTTCGGAGGTTTCTTCTTTCTCTCCCTCTCTTTATTGCCTTTACTTTTATGATTAAATTGCGTAATAGCTATTAGGGCCATGTAGTCATTCTTTTAATTTCGCAAATAAAAGGGTAAAAGCGTCTTTTTACAAAGTTTATTTATTAAATAGCTGGCCTATCATAGGGAACCCGAAAGGGGCATCGTAAGGGAACTAACACTTCCCTTACACGTAACTAACTCCCTTACCTAAACTCTGGTTTTAACGACCAAAGTTGGTTTTCGAAAACCAACGCCTTTTTACTCATTTTTCGATGTTTTTGGTAAAAACATCAGTGGCGACTCCATAAGAACCCTTCAAAATTAGTTTTTGGGTTAGCCCGGTTATCGGACAATCCAAGAACACTTTTTCAAAAACCTCGCCTCTAGGTTCAGCCCGGTTATCGGACAACCTAAAGGCATTGTCACCACACCCATAAAAACGCGAAAATTGGAAAGTCGGAACCATCGCGTCGTTTTGATCGCCTCGTTTTGACGGCGGTGACACATATTAAATTTCTCTAGTTATCCACTAGTTTACGTTGTCTTATTTCTGTTCTTTTTACCCCAGTAAATTTAATATGAAGTTTTTACGTCATTGTAGTTCTGTCTTTAGGGAGATGAAACAATATCAGAAAGATTTCTCCAGCTGGTGTGGTGAGTGCAGCCGTGAGAAAAAGGAAAGGCAACGCTCAACAACTGCTGCTACCAAATTGGTTAGTCTTTATTTAATCTGAATGTTTCAGGAATATGTGCATTACATTCTGGGAAGATGTTGTAAGTTTTATGTAAGGATAGACATAGGCTATGGTGAGAGAGTCAATTTTGTCTCCCAACATGAGTAAATTATATCGGTAGATATATTTCATCTTTAATCAATGACTAGGAGTTTTTTGTTTTTATTTTCTTTTTCCCTTGCTACCTGTACTTGCCCCATTTTCTTTGTAACCCATTTCCATCCAATTTCTAGATGGTGACCACTTCTTTCTCAGCATCAATGACAGATGCTCTTTCTTGTTGTTGTGCCTGAAAGCTTCATTGTTGTACCTTATTACCTTCTTACCCTTTCACTTCCCTCATGCAGAGAACACAAATCAATTCAGATATGTTCCAACAGAGTAAATAATTCAATATCACCCCTCCTCCCCCAAAATAAATTACTAGATGTGTTGTTTGGTTTCCTTTTTGTCACTCATATTTTTAGTGATTTCAACTTGCACTCAGACCAATTGATCATCCCCCATTGTTTTAATTCAGGGAGTGAACACCTTTTTCAGCCATAGTAACTTTTGTGTTTGGTTGGGTCGCAGTTCTGAGGAGGGTGATGTTGTATCATTGATGTCTTTTATGTTCCTGTTTTGTTTAACATCATTGTTAATTTTTTATTTTTTTTTGTAGAGAAGTTGTGTGCATACTTGAAAATTACAGAGAAGTAGAAAATAGTGAGAACAATATGGAGGAAGGATAGGGAAGGGGGAGTGTTGCTGCCTATGGCTGCTGTGAAAGTGAGGCTGATAGAAAAAAAGAACAAAAACAGGGAAAGGGTATATAAATTTGCTCTCCCACTTGATAACTCTCTAGTTATGGATGGTTTTGAGAGTCCTAGAGACAGTTGAGGCCCATTGTGGTTACCATTTTCCATGGAGTCTTTCGAACTTCCTTCCATTGTATGGACGGTGAGTGTGAATTTCCTTCTCCTTCACTTGACAGCAGCAATTTGGTTGATTCTGTTATTGTGTCTCTTGTTTAACTTTGTATCCTCACTTTGAGAGCTGATTTCCATGACTACCATCACTGTTTATTGTACATCAAGTTTGGTAACTATTCATCCACCCTAAACTGATTTTATTTTGTATATTGTATTTGTTTTGTTAGTTTCTGACATTTCCAGAATTATGACTTTTATTTTAGTTTATTCTACTTATTTTTAGATTGAATTTTCAATACGTAAGAAAGTATTTAATTCATGAATGATGAATTTATTTAGAACAAAATTTGTGGTATTATTTTGATGGTCATCTTAGGTAGTGAAATTTTCATATTTTTAATACAATATATAATGTATTTCATATTTCTTAATTAGGTTTATTGTTATTTTAAAAATAATATAAAAAAATAAAATCAAATTAGTGACCGATATAGTGACCGATTTCGTCATATGTATTTGGTCATAAAATTGGTCACAGATTCGGTCATTGATTCGGTCACTGAATCGGTCACTGAATCGGTCACTGATTCGGTTATTGATTCGGTCAGTGATTTGGTCACTAATTTGGTCACTGATTCGGTTACTGAATCGGTCATTGAATCGGTCACTGATTCGGTTACTAAAATTAGTGACCAAGGAAATAGTGATTGATTCCAGTTAGTCACTATTTCAGTCACTATTTGAGTTAGTGACCGATTTTAGTCATTTAGTGACAAAATTTTCGGTCACTATTTGGTGTTTTTCTTGTAGTGTATCAGCCTAGTCAGAGGCAAAACAAATGCAATCAAAAGTCTTCACTTCCGATGAAGCATCTGCCTACTCAGAGGTATTACCAGAAACTCAATGGAGTATCTGCCTGCTCAGAGGCACCATCAAAATCAGCAAATTTTCAACGGATATCCGCCTACTCAAGAGGCGTCACCAAAATCAACAAATCCACAGAGGATGAAGCACTTGTTGGATTTGATGAAGACATAAAGAGTTTATAGAGTTTAGTTTGTGGGTGTGTAGGTGAATAGGTTATAGGTTTAGAATATAATCTCTTGATTGATAAATAGATCTTGTGATAAGCACCTTTAAATGATGCATCTCATTGAACTTATTTTACTGCATGAAAAACCAACTTTTAAGCATTAAAAGAACAAACTGAGTTTTTCAATCTGTTAAAAAGAAGTTTCAATCTGTTAAAATCACTTAAAATAGGAAATGTTCATATGTTGTCAAAATTTTAATTGATTGAATCGCAGGATCAACAGGTTAAAATGTTCTTAATGATTTTTCCATATTAAAGGTTTTGCAATTTTAATCTGTTGAAATCAAGTTCAATTTGTTGAAACAGAGAGATGTTATTTTTTCACTTTGAAGTATCACAGGATTTCAATCTGTTGAAATATATTTTAATCTGTTGAAACAGAGAGCTAACATTTTTCTTCTAACTATTTCAATCCATTGAAAACTCGAAAAAACCGATTGAATTAGTTTTTAAATGAAATCAATCGATTGAAACGTCATTTTAATCAATTGAAAAATATTCTGATCGATCACAACTCAATTCTGATCGATCATATCTGATTCTGATCAATCACAACTCAATTCTGATCGATCATATCTAGTTCTGATCGGTCATAAAACTATTCTTATCAGTCGTCTGCTACTCCAAGTTATTTTAAAGTGATTAAATCTATCAGTTTCTCTCTTTTACTCTATAAATACAGTTTTGATTTCTCTTTTGGAATAACAATTTGAAAAACATTTGAAAGCAATCTTAGAGCTCTCATATTCGTGGCTTTCTCTGTGCATTCATAAAAATTTTCATATCATAAGGCGTTTAGATCAAGATTGTTAAAAAGTTCATCAAGAGAGAAAGTTCTGAGTTAGGGAAATTGCTTCTGGACTTCTATATTGTTAAAGCTGCAGTCCAGGTTTATTCTTTTCATACACTTGTACAAAGGTTAATTGTGTAGATTGGGTTTGAATCTGCACTGGTTACAATAACTGGGTTTGGTTACTGGGTGGTTAATTCAAGAGTCTATCTTGTGGTGTTGTAAGATAGTTCTTGGGGTAGATTGGTGTATATCTACCTGGTTTGTATTTTCACTTGGAATTAGTGGAACTTGGCGATTTGTCAAGAACCGAATGTAGCTTCGGGAAAGAGTGAACCAGTATAAACTCTTGTGTTGAATTTCTGCTTTCATCTCTTTTCAAGTCTTGCTTATATTCTTGCTTTGTTTAAAATCAAATCTGCCTAATAAAAGATTGGATAAAGATTAACCATTCTTCCAAAAGAAAGAGTGTTTTTCGAAAAAGATTTCAAAAGTTCAATTCACCCCCCCTCTTGAACTCAACTATTAATTCTTACAATTGGTACCAGAGCTGGTTCTTGTAAGTTACTCAAGAATTCGGTCCAAAGGTTTAAATGGCTGAGGGAAAGATGACTTTTTCGGAAGGAGCCTCCATCAATAGGCCTCCTCTATTTGCTGGTGTGAATTATTCTTTCTGGAATGTTAGAATGAAAATCTTTATTGAATCTCTTGATAAGGGTATTTGGGATACAATTGTTAATGGGCCTTTCAAACCAACTCATACAGTAGATGGTAAAATTGTTGAAAAAGACTGGGCTGAATTAACTAATGCAGAAAATAGGAAAGTTCAATATGATTATACTGCTAAGAACATTATTACCTTTGCCTTAAATATTGATGAGTTTTTTAGGGTTTCTCAATGTGCCTCTGCCAAAGAAATGTGGGAGATTCTAGAGGTCACTCATGAGGGTACCTCTGACGTGAAAAGGGCAAGAAAGCATGAATTAATTAGAGACTATGAATTGTCCAAAATGCAGCAAGGTGAAACCATTGCAGATGTGCAGAAAAGATTCACGCATATAGTCAATCATCTAATTGGATTAGGCAAGACATTTGACAAGGAAGAGTTAAACATCAAGATTCTAAAATGTCTGGACAGAACTTTGCAACCAAAGGTGACAGCTATATCAGAATCAAGAGACTTAACTGAGATGACTACTGCATCATTGTTTGGTAAGCTAAGGGAACACGAGTTGGAGATCAATAGGTTTAAAGAACAAGAAAATGCAGAAAAGAAAAGCAGAAACATTGTTCTCAAGACAATTGAAGAAAGCAGTAATTCTGAAGAAGATGAATCTGAGAATCTGACTCTGTTGGTTAAAAAGTTTGGGAAATTTCTTAGAAAGAAGAACAGAACTGGCCAGGTTAAAAGGTACACTGATTAAAGAACTGAATCTACTCAAAATACTTTTACTTGTTATTCTTGTGGTAAGCAGGGACACATAAGGAGTGAATGTCCAGAAAAATCCAAGAATCAAAACAAGAAAGAGTTAAAGTACAAAGGGAAAAAGGCCTACATAGCCTGACAAGACAATGATTCATCCTCTAGTTCTGTATCTGAAGGTGAAGAAGTGAATCTATGCTTAATGGTTGGCTGGGAATCCTCTTCATCTCATGTAAGTTCAACCCCCACAGAAAATGAAATGAATTACAGCACATTACTAACTGCTTTCAATGAAATGCATAATGAAGCTAGGAATTTATCTCATACAAATAATCGGTTAAAAGGAATAAATAACTGGTTAGAAAATAGGGTTAAAGTTCTAGAAGAAGAGTTACTAGAAAACAAGACAAATATGGAACATCTTGAAATAATCTACAATAATTCATCTGCTGGTAATGCTGCTGCTAACAACAATTGTGAAAAGTGTATCTCTCTGCAGAATAAGGTTGAGTATTTGATTAAAACACTGTCTAAGTTTACTCAAGGTAAAGAAAATTTAGATACACTTCTTGGGTCCCAAAACTATGTTTTTGATCATACTGGAATTGGGTACAAACCTAAGGTTGGGGTTAAAACCAAAAGATATTTGAATTTCTTTTCTTTTCGAAAATCAACAGCATCTCCTTTCTCATCTTGTCATTATTGTATGAAAAAAGGACATACTGTAAAATTCAGTCATATTAGAAAACACTTTGTGCCACAGGGTAAAATGAGATGGGTTCCAAAATATGTTAAACAGAAAATTTGACCACTAAGGACCCAAAGTAATTAAGGGTACCAAATACTTGATGTTTGATTTTTCAGGAACAACAGCAAGAATCACTTTGGTACTTGGACAGCGGATGCTCAAGGCATATGACAGGTGATATTTCCAAATTCCAGAAACTGAGATTGAAGAATGGAGGACACATGACATATGGAGACAACAACAAGGGAAGAATCTTAGGTTCTGGAGATATAGGAGATGGTGAAACCGTGACCATTCACAATGTTCTTCTTGTTGAAGGTCTCAAGCACAACTTAATCAGTATAAGTCAATTATGTGATCTAGGTCACAAGGTTATCTTCAAACCAGAAATCTGCCTAATCTGTGAGCCAAAATTTGACACGGTAATGTTGGTAGGTAAGAGGTTAAATAACATTTACATGCTAGATATCAAGCATTCTATCTCATCTCAAAGTTGTCTTCTTACAAAGGTGAATAGCTTCTATCCTGGCAATAGGAGCCAAAATCAATTCACTTTTCAATGTTAAGAAAAATGTCCAAGTATATCTAGAAAAATCATCAACAATTACAAGAGCATAATAATTTCCACCAAAACTTTTTATCCTAGAAGGACCAAATAAATCTAAATATAATAGTTCTAAAGGTTTTGATTTGGAAATAACATTCTTTGATTTAAAGGATGATTTTACTTGTTTACCTTTTTGACATGAATCACATAATCTATCTTTTTCAAACTTTAACTTAGGAAAACCAACAACTAAGTCCTTTGATATCAATTTGTTTAATTGATGCATATTTATATGAGCCGCTCTATTATGTCATAACCATGGGTTCTTTTCCTTAGCAACTAAGCATGTTATACTATTATCATGTATACAATCAAAATCAATCAAATAAATATTTTTATGCCTAATGCCTTTCAATGCTACATTTTCTAAATATATCAAATGTATGGTACAAAATTTACTTTCAAAGATTACCTTGAATCCTTTGTCACAAAGTTGACTTA